GATTAATTCTGAAAAAAGAATATTTGTGGTTGATATTTTAATTTCATTCACCTCATTTTAAAAATATCGGCTGTCTTATCAACTACATATTTAAAGGTTTCTTCATCTTCTTTGTCAAATTTACGCGAAAATAAATTAGGTATTGAATTGAATATCGATGAAAAAAGTCTTTTGGATAGTCCTTTGTTTAAATTTTCAATTTGTTCCATTCTTTTTTTAAGTATCTATTTTTAACTAGGAATTTTTAACTTTTATTGATGATATTTCTACATCAAATTTATCTAAAAATTTCATTGAATTTTTCTAATTCTCCAATGGTTATGTTCTTTCGAAAAAATGAATAATTTATTAAGATATGTATTTAAAATTTCTGTTTTCTTTTTATAATGAGATTTCTGTTTTGATGTAAAACCTAAAGTAATCAATCCACAAGATGAAGTTTGAACGGCAGTGAACGCTGCTAATACAGTTGGGACAATTATTGGAAGCATTAATCCACCGGTTACGGCTGTTGCTACCGTTATCCCTACTGTTAGAACTGTGCTTAATGTTTTAAAAACAGAATCAATTCTACTCCATGTTTTTCTACATTTGTGGAAGTGTTTTAGTTTTTCTTTTAGTTCATTTTGTTTTTCTATCATTTAGTTTTGTCTGCTTTCTAGTTCCATTTTTTAGGTAATTAAATTAAGTAAACTTCTGATAAAGCTGCTATGTGTTTACTATCTTTAATAAAAACTTTTATAAATACTAACGATATTTGTTCTTTCGAATCATTAATCTTATTCAGATGAACTGAAAATTTTGGTTTTTCAATATAGATTGATATAATAACATAAGCATCATCATCTCTCATTGTTGGTATCAAAAATTTTTGTTTTTGTTGACTTTTATGAATATCAATTGAGGTAAATATATCATTAATAACAAAACATAGTTTAACGTATTCATAGTCTGTTGCTCGTAAAAACTCATAACTACTTGCTTCTTTTTGTGGTTCTGGATTTCTAATAATACTTACTGATGGTGGAGTTTCCGTTTCCAATATCATTTGAAATTCACTAAATGAAAGAGTCTTATTTTCTTTATCTGGTATGATTAACATTCTAAACTTATCTATATATTTTCCACTCGTTTTAATTTCATATAAGTGACCATTCTTGCTGTTTTCGTCGTTAATTTCATATTCTTTAGTTTCTACATTTTTTGTACCATTGATAAACTGAAGAATTTTTTGAGCGTTAAATTGAGAAATAGATGTAAATCCTGAGTTTTGTCTGAAGAATATTGAATCAACTTTTACTTGCATAGGAAAAATAATTTCAATTATAAGTTTTCCTTTGAAAATAAAAGCAGAATAATCACCAAGAAACATTTTATGGGGAAAATCATTTTTTGGTTTATATACTCTTATCTTTGCTGTAATTCCATATTTTTTATATTCATAATCTTTTGATCTATCAATATTATCAGTAATAGAAGCATCGTCACGTCTCAAACTTGAAGAGTAAAATAATATGATTTATTTTCTTTCTTGAGATACTTTTCTAATGCGAGTATATTTTTTTCCTGTTTTAAAACTAGATTATTAATAGTGGTTATCTGTTGTTGAATAACATTATCATCAATGTTCTGTATTTGTTGTTGAATATAGGTTTTGATTTCGCTATCATCTATGTTTTGTATTTGTTGTTTAATATTTCTTAGTTCTTTTTGTAATTCACTGTTAAGTTTAGTTTCCAGAGCATTTAATTCCTGTTGAAACGTATCTTCATTTTCACCTGGAATGTTATCTATTAATTG